CCCCCCCCCCCCCCCCAATAAAAAATAAAGGTGGTGATGCAACATTATTTAGAAAATACGAACAAATGAAACTGATGAGACATTGGCGGCAATCCAACTGTGTGTTGACACGCGTTGACCCATGATGGTCCATGCAATCAAAACCTTTTGAACGTAATAAATGACATGTTTCCAAATCTCGTGCAGCGTATTGGCATAGGGTGAGTCCAAAACTTGGGAGAACCGTGAGGTACTCAGGTCCATGTCTAAAAGTATTCTAACCCAACCTAAGATGTTCAAATGGTCAAGATAGAGTTATCAATGGCGGCTCACTTTGACATGTAGAACTCTAAAATCAAGTCGTCTCGCATTAATGAGGTGCGATACATGCACTCATTATGCTGTGCAAATAGGTCAAGACATTAATGGCTAAGATGTGCAATACATCATAGTAATCATAGATATAAATACACAACAAAAACACAAAATAAAGATACGCAATCTGAAAATATTTTACATTGAATACTCTATTCACTTATATGTCGACTAACTTAAGTTTAAGAGGAGATAAGCTGGATGTTCACCCGACCTATTTCTTAACTTTGTCTATTGTTTACAGGATCATTTGAAGGATTATCAGCGTAGATCACTACCTCAATTCATTACAGGAATTCTCCTATTCAACATCGAATGTAATCATTGTCTATTGATCAATATATAATTTAAGACTTTTACTCCTATTGTACTCGATCAAAAAAAAATTATTAACTGATTTAAGGGATAGTAGACCATTACTTAATGAAAAATCAATTTGTTGTACAATTTTTTTGAAAAATAAGGGGGAGGTAGTGTATCAATTTACTTGCATATTGGCATTCTAGTAGGAAGGCAAGTGAATAAATCAAGTAGAAGTGCAGTTTCTAAATAAAGTACTATTCTTGAAATATCAGAGTTGAGCTGAGCAGTAGCATCAGAACTAGCTTGGCAAGAGACGAGCTCGAGCTTCATCATTGTCTGAGTCGAGCGAGAGCGTCTTTCTTCTTCTCGAGTGAAGTAGCTTACTATTGCTCTGCACGCTAACCTCGGAAGTGGAGTGCTCTCCTTAGCGCAAGCCATAAGAAGACAACAACCTACCTTTAATTGCTTTTTCAGTCAAGTTAAAAGATGAAAATGAGTTTTCTTCTAAAATAACTATTTTTGTTATAAAAGGTCATCTCCAAGTCGAGAAAGGTTCTTTGATTCTATACACTAAAAACCAAATTCAAAAGTGGGGGGAGGGGGGCAAGTACCCCTAGGACTAAAGTAGCTCCGCCCCTTGTCATCCTTGTTACCCTTTGAAATACCCCTTGAAATTTTCATACCTCCGGCTATCATGTAGTGTGTATAATTCACTCAAAATGGTATTGTTAGGTTCTGTGGATTATTTGTTGACAGGTAAGGGAGGAATCAGAACTCTGTTTTCTGTTTTTTTGTACATCACCCAGCTGCCTGTATTTTGGTCTTTATTAGTTGCAGATAATGCAATCGTAGGAACTCACCCAGCTGCTTAGTTTGATTAAGGGGGAAGGACATCTTGTTTATGACTTTCTAGTTTACCATTTATAAATACTTGTCAACTCGAACGTGATGCGATTAATAAGCAGTTCAAATTAGTATCAAAAGATCTATTTCCCAATTGTTTAACATTAGATGAACTCAATTTCTTCCGGATGAACTCAATTTCTATTTTAGCAGATATCCAGCACAGTTAACAATAGAGTAATGTTATCGACACCTAAAAATTTGATCGAATTTATCAGCCGACATGGTCTCAATGAAAGAGTCTAATATTTAATATTACACTAGTATTTTTGGACTATGTCATTGTCACATTATTAGGTCATCAAATAAAACTAAATTTTTGTTTCTTGTTTTTCTGGTTGAATGGTCAGGATTGTCCGGACCCACTTACGCGCATATCAATTAATCTCTCTCTGGTCCGGTCAAAGACAGATTATCCACACCGAAACTAGGGTATTCTTGAGGGATAAATCTCTTATGACATGAATTCAAGGAGTTGTCAAGATTCAAACTCAGAACATTGGGATTTACATCCAGTCCTATTATCCCTTAAATTATCTCATAAAATTATAAATTTAATTTTTTAAGTTCAAATAATAATGTCTAGAAACTTTGTTTTGAATCCACGTCATAGCCCATGCCCTTTCGGGAAGGAAACTTTGGAGGCATCAAGGATTTGAATTCTATACTTGGACTTTGAATACTAACCCATTTATCAGTGTACAGGATTGGCCCGCTCAGTAGGAGGCATGGAGAGTTTGGAGACGCCAAGCACGAGTGAGCAATATATAATATTTGACTAATACTATTGCGATCTAAATTTTTTTTTATTATGATTACATAATGATGTGTTAAATAATAAAATTGTAATAAAAAAATCTCAGAGTTATGAATAAATATTAAGTATAACGGTTACTCCATGTGTGCAATGTTAATGTGTTATAACTATCCAATAAAAAAATTATAAAATAGAATTCACTTTCTATTATGCAAGTGATTATGTAATGTGACATGGATAATTTTTAGCAATGTCTCTCTCTCTCGCTGTGGGGTACAGTTTTTCTCTCTGTATTACAGAGTTGTCTTCCTTGGGTGTTACTAATGCAAGTTCCTTTGTTCTGAGGGTTCTTTTCTTGTCATCTATAGGGGTCGGTTGTTTGAGTAGCAACCTTTCTCTTGCCCACTTATGTCAGCATAGGAAGTTTCTTATAACGGTTATCTTATTGGTTTTACTTTTATCTTGTTTATCTATTCTTGTGTGCAGGTCTTGAAGGATTCCGTCTGATTCAGTGCGGCTGGTTTGCCGGAACGGCTGTGTCTTTGGGGGTGGGTGGTCTACTAGATGCTATAATGGACAAGGAGATGCAACAATTGTGGAAAAATTTTACACTTTTAGAGCAGGAGAGTCTTGGAGTTAATATTCTGGATCAGAGAGCTGGTGATCTTGGGAAAAAAGACAAATTGTGTGTATTTGGTAAAGTTTTGTCTGTAAAGCTTTACAATAAGACGGCTTTCAAAACTACAATGAGAATGGTATGGAATAAAATCAAAGGGGAGTTCATAGAGGCTGGTGACAATCTGTTACTTGTCCAGTTTAGTAATATGTTGGACAATAATAAAGTCCTTGAGAGTCAGGCGTTAGAATGAATTAAGAAACTGCAGAAATTATAGGCACATTGAAGGAGTTCCCAGCACTACAAGGAAAAGTAGTTTTTACGGCGGTAAAGTGCTATCATAAAAGATCTATTTGTCGCCACAAATATTTTTTGTAACGACATTGTCTTTTTATAATAAATGTAGTCTTAAAAGGTTTTTACGGCAATAACCGTCTGTCTTAAATAGTATTTACGACAACAAGAACCTGTTGTAAATAAGTTGTCACAAAAAATTCGACATTTTTGCTTTTATCACTACATCAAAAGTGCTATCTTAAATACCACATTTGACTATCGTACAAAATAAAAGATTTTGTTGTGACAGTTAATATGCTATCGCAAAAAGTATGAAATTTTTTGTACGTTAAATGAAATATATTTAGGACAACAATGATGCTGCCACAAAAAAATAAATTTTTTTAATTATTATGAACTGTTGGTAACCGATGTTATATACCATATGCATATATACACTTCCATCAAATGAATTTAAAAGAGCACATCTATACAATTTTTTTTTTTAAGGGGGAGGGGAAGGAGGCTTGAATCTTTGACCTCAAGAAAACAAAGATTTCATAAGATAAAGAGTATCGTTGGACTAAAGACTCATTGACATTCGTACAACTACCTAATTCAATATATAGATAAATACAAAAGTAAATATGACCAACATTTTCAAAAATATAGCAATATTTTCATATAAAAAAAAAACAATCTCATGAGTTAAATAAAAAGTAAAATATACACTTTTACAAAATATAACGATCCATGATTACAAGAAATTAATGCAAAAAGTTTAATATCCTTTTCGAACTATCTATTCTCTCTGTGACACTTGAAAAAAAACATAAAATTATTGTTACTATATTGAAATGATATTTATATACATATATATAATAAAAAACTAAAAGAAGTTATAATACACATCAACAGAAGGTCACACAATATTTCTCTGAACAGCTTGTCCAATTATGTAAATGATATATAAACGAGTCGTATACATTTCTTCTAATTGGTTTCAGTAATACTTGATTCGTTTATAATCGTATCGTGTCGAGTCCACTCGTTTATATTAGGTACATTTCAGCTAAGATAGATGCCTTGAAAGCTAAATTGGCAAATCTAAAGGAAAATGAAATAATAGGGAGTTCGAGGCAACAAGCTCAAGTTGTGGCAGCGATGTTGAATACTTTGCTTGATATGGAGGAAACCTATCGGTGTCAACGATCAAAAGTTCACTAGTTGAAGGAAAGGGATGAGAATACAACATTTTTTCAAGCTCAAAAATGGTGAAGAGGGGTTGGTGTGAAAATTCGGATGAAATGGAGCAAGTACCTGTAGGGTACTTTAAAAACTTGTTTACATCCAACAGAGCACAAACCCAAGAGTTAGAGGCAATTTTAAGCAAGGTGGATCGCAAGGTGTTGGAGGAATGAATTCAAGGCTTTTGCAGACTTTCCGATTTGATAAGGTAATCACTGCAATATCTCAAATATTTCCTACTAAATCCCCTAGACCCGATGGTATGTCTTCCTTTTTTTTCCAAAAGTATTGAGATATTGTCGGGTCGGAAGTTGCAAACTATGTCCTCATCTTTCTCAATAGTGGTAAGTTTCTAGTTAAGATCAATTATACTCATATTGTTCTTATTCCTAAATGTGAAAATTTGGAGTCTTTATATCAGTTTTGCCTAATTAGTCTGTGTAATATTATTTATAAAATTATTTCCAAAATTTTAGCTAATTGCTTAAATCACATTCTTCCCTCAGTGATTTATGAATTTCAAAGAGCTTTTCTTTTCAGGAGGTTGATCACCATCAATGTTTTGGTTGCATTTGAAATTAATCACTTTCTAAAGTGTAAGAATCGACGTAAAATGGGACATTGATCACTGGAGTGTCGATGGGTAGGGGTGGTCCAAGAATATCCCACCCTCTGTTCGTTAACGACCACCTATTATTTTTGATTGCATCACAAGAGGAGGCTGGATCTGTTGAATCAATACGAAGCTGCTTTAGGGTAAAAAATCAATTTGGAGAAGTCTGCAGTGGTCTTTAGCAATAACACATCGGAGGTGCAGGCAAGCCAAGATTAGCAAATCTTGGCGGTAGATCGTGTTCACCAACATGATAAATACCTGGGCCTTCCAACAATGTTGGGTAGGTCTTAAAAAGAGGTCTTTAGCAATTTAAAGGAAATGGTGTGGAACAAAATGCAAGGATGGAGTGAACAACTTTTATCATAGCGGGAAAAGAGGTATTGATTAAGGCGATGGCGCAATCTACTCCCACATACGTTATGGGGAGCTTCAAACTTCCGAATAATTTTTGTGAGGAACTAGGGGCACTATCGACCAAATTTTGGTGGGGACAACGACAGGGGAGAGGAACATTCATTGGGTTAGCTGGAATAAGATGTGTAAAAAGAAAGAGAGGGATGTCATGGAATTCAGAGATCTAAAGGCTTTTAATTTGGCATTGCTTGCAAAACAGACTTGGAGAATAAACAGAGAGGTTAATTCTATTATTCATCAGGTGCTTAAGGTGAGGTGCTTCCCCTTTGACATCTTTTATGGAGGCAGAACTTGGCTATAGACCCTCTTACACATGGAGAAGTATCTTAGGAGCAAAAAAAGTTGTGGAAGTAAGTTCGAGATGGCGAATAGGAGATGGATCTAGAGTCAATATTTGGCATTATAACTCAAATGAGAGGTTTTCGGTACGTAGTGCTTATAATATTATCATGGACCAAAAGCTATTGCAAGCAGCCCCAAGCACTTCATATCCTTCCTCTAGTGCTAGACATCTTAATTGAAATTTTATTTGGAATAAAAAAAAATACCAAAGAAAATTAAGATTTTTGTGAGACGTGTGTGTTTCAATGCGCTGCCAACGGCGGATAATCTATGGTGAAGGAAAGTCAAAATGCAGAGGAATTGTGGAGAGTGTCAAGAAGATGAGAAGTCGTTGATACACTGCCTAAAGGAGTGTTCTTGGGCCAAAGCAGTGTGGTGTCTTAGCCCCTTAGTGGCAGTTGTTTAGATTTTGTCTTTTGATCCTAGGCCGTGGATGCACGGTGTTCATCAGTCCCTTACACTTGATGACTTTTCTTTGTTCCTTATTCAGTGTTGGTTTGTGTGGATAAATAAAAATCTTTCGAATTTTTGAAAATCTGGTTCAAGACCCCGCTGAAGTGCATAGGGAGGCCATTGACTATTGCAAGCAGTATAAGGAGGCATTATCTCATTCCAGTCTTACTCCAATGTCAGATCCCGATGATGTTTGGTGTTCTCCGATCATATCATTATCACATCATTAAATTAACAAATTAAATTAATTTTTTAAATCTTAATATTATTCTTTGTATTATTTATTACCTTAAATCTTATCCGAAAAGGACGACCAAAAGTTCTAGAGAATGTTCTATTCAAATAAGTACTAATACTGAGGGCCCTTGGTTATTGTCATTGGTCAAAAACGACGATCAGTCGTCTGCATAACATCTAGTTTTTCAAAATCTCAGTTATAGATAGAAATTTTTTAATCAGGTTCCGACTTTTTTCAAGTATCTGTACAAGAGAGAATTGTAATCAAGTAATAATTAATCTGTGGGTAGGAGAAAGTCATGCCCCCATTGCGAATCTAAACTTAGCGGTGTGAATTCTGTCTTATTCGTATTTGTATGTTTCACATATCGAGTTATTATTATTTATGTCGTATTTGTGTCAAGACTTAAAAAAAAAAAAATTATGTAATGTGTTATGAGTACTAAACATTAATTTAAATTTTTTATTATATATATATAATAATTATTTGTGTAGGATTCGTATCAACGGAATAGGATTAGAACTTGCACACCTAATAGTAAACTTTTAAGTTGAGTTAATTGCAATTGAAAATAGACTTAACGGAAAAGTGGTTTTTTTTAACTGTAGAAGATAAGGAGGATGTTGATCCGAAATTGTTGAAGCATTATAGAACCATGGAGGATGTTGATCCGAAATTGTTGAAGCATTGTAGAACCATTGGGGAGTTTTTAATAGAATGGTTAATTGAGCCGAATTATTCGGGTTGGCACTCAAAATTCGGGTTGGCACTCAAGTTTTTGACTCGTATTTTAAATAAATTATTTAAAACAGCCACCGACTCATAAAATTCAATCCATTTATATAAAGAGTAATATAGCCCAGACGAGTCGGCGGGTCATATTCATTCGTTTTTCGCTGATGGACTGGCCAAGTTGGCATGAAAGGGACGTCTTTGACTTTGTACCCAGCGGCGGCTTCTCATCTCTACATGCAGATTTCAGCCCCTCCCTCCCTCCCAAGGCTATAAAGGCATTCGCGCCCATCCAGTAACTCATCACACTCTCTGCTTCAACAATCTCTTCTCCCATGGCTTCCTCTCTCCAGTTCCTCCTTTTCTCTTCTCTTCTCTTCCTTTCTCTCTCCTACGCTCAACGTTCTTCTCGCCCCAATGCCCTTGTCCTCCCCGTCTCCAAAGATGCTTCTACCCTTCAATACCTAACCAAAATCAACCAGAGGACGCCATTAGTTCCGGTGACCCTTGTGGTTGATCTGGGTGGTCGGTTCTTGTGGGTTGATTGCGAGAACAACTATGTCTCATCAACTTACCGGACACCGGGGTGTAACTCCGACAAGTGTTCTATCTCTAGATTTGCCGCCGTCTGCGGCGGTTGCTTTCCTTCTCCTAGGCCTGCAGGGTCACCATGCATGAGAAACAGATGCATTCTCTCCGCCGACAACTCTGTCACGAGAACAGCCAACGACGGTGAGCTTCTTGAAGATGTCGTTTCCGTTCAATCCACCGATGGGTCGAACCCTGGTCCTGCGGCCACCGTTTCTAAATTTCTATTCTCCTGTGCACCAACTTCCCTTTTGAAAGGCCTTGCCGGTGGTGCCACAGGCATGGCCGGACTTGGCCGGTCTCAGATTTCACTTCCGTCGCAGTTCGCTTCTTCCTTTAGCTTCCCCAGAAAATTCGCCGTTTGTCTCTCATCAGGCACCGGCGTCATATTCTTCGGCGATGCCCCATACAAACTTCGTCCTAACATTGATCCTTCAGATTCACTCACCTACACACCACTCTTCATTAACCCAGTAAGCACCTCTTCAGGTTATCTTCTCGGTGAGTCCTCCGTCGAGTACTTCATCGGAGTTACCTCCATCAAGATCACCGACAAAGTCGTACCATTAAACACCTCATTGCTTTCCATTGACGCCGAAGGCTACGGCGGAACAAAGATCAGCACAGTAAATCCCTACACTGTAATGGAGTCCTCAATCTACAAAGCATTCACCGAAGCATTCATTAATGAAGCCACGGCCAGGAACATCACCAGAGCTCCATCTGTAGCGCCTTTCGACGTGTGTTTCAGCACAAACAACGTTGGGAGCACCAGACTCGGACCAGGTGTGCCATTCATTGAGCTGATTCTACAGAGCCAAAGTGTGGTTTGGAGGATCACGGGTTCTAACTCAATGGTTTATGTCAGTGACAATGTACTGTGTCTTGGGTTTGTTGATGGAGGGTTAAACCCTAGAACCGCCATTGTTATCGGAGGGTACCAGTTGGAGGACAATTTTTTACAGTTTGATCTTGAAGGTTCGAGACTTGGGTTTAGCTATTCGCTGCTTGGAAGGCGAACTACTTGTGGTAACTTCAACTTCACATCCAGCTCCATCCCCTAGAGGAGGATAAGTGTGGTAAGTTGAAGTAGCATTTTATTTTTTGTGGTTGGAATAAGTGGTGATGAATGATCACCTAGCTACTGTTAGTTTGAAGTTTGAACCCAGGTGTATTTGTTTTTGGACTTTCTTCTGGTTCAGTTTTATTGTTTGTAATTTGTTGTGATCTAATAATTCATGAAATATTGTCATGTTTTATACAATTTGATCTTCAGCTTTATCCAAGCTACTGTTTGCCATCTCTTCCTCTACAAAGGAAAGTAAATATTCCATGCTTAGCAGAGAGAGAGAGAGAGAGAGAGATTGAAAAAAAATATTAGTAGTAAGTGATTCCCGTAAAAATTCATTATCACTCAACTATGGTGAAAGCTTGCATGGATCCACAATGGGGGCATGACTAAGGAGTCAAGTGAATTCATAATTAAATCGAAAATATGGCATGAATACAAACTTAGAAATAACTAGACTTATTTATACGAATAATAAAAATATATAACACGAATAACTCATTTAGCTTGTATTGTAAGGAAAAATAAGTATTTTTTTCATTTGTTTCTTTTTTGTGTCTAATATTGTATAAATTATTTTAAAATGGAATACTTCTTTTTGTTAACACGGTTATTGATAAAAGCATGACACTAATTAAGTCTACATACTTTGTCTCATTTTGTTTAATAACGTCTCATTAGGTGTGAAGATTGGCTTATAAGAAGGGGATTGAACCTCTCATTTGTACAATATACCCTTTGAGGATAATAATGCTGGAAAACAATAATAGATTAATTGTGTTGGATCGGTTGACAAATTCCTTTCCGTTGGTCTTGAATTTTCACTAAACTTGCTCGTTTATTAGATGAATAATACTATATATTCCAAAAAATTTATTAATTTTTTTCATACTAAACAATATGATATATACACATAGTGATTGAACGATTAGTAAAAATTAATAAAACTCAACCATATAATAACAATTCATATATATTTAGCAAAAAAGAAATTGACGAGTCTAATATTGGTCTTATCAGACATCAAATGGAAAAACCACTTGTTTCGATCTTCTTCCCTCGTCCATTGTATACGATACACCTCTATCGCCAGCGTACTTCTTCCATAGCCATAAGCTCATCCAACTCACTTTTTTGCTTCTGTTCTACCCTATAGGACCTCTCCGTTATGGCCTCCTCCTTGATTCTNTCTACAAAGGAAAGTAAATATTCCATGCTTAGCAGAGAGAGAGAGAGAGAGAGAGAGATTGAAAAAAAAGAAGAAAAAAAATATTAGTAGTAAGTGATTCCCATAAAAATTCATTATCACTCAACTATGTAATATATTACTACCTCTATAGTAAGAAATGAGCCCCATTTTATAATTTTTTTGTTGGATGGATATAGCATATCAGCAATATTACACCCAATATTTACTTGAGAAATAAATAGAGCGGGAGAAAAAAATATTAGATGCATTCGTTACGATAGTATCACGAGATATAACTATGTAATCCTATTGAGGTGGTGTAACCGTTCACTAATAAGTAAATAAATTTATAAGTAAGTCTTACAAAAATTCATAACTACTCAGCTATGTAATACATAACCATAATAATAGAAAATGGATCCCATTTTATTTATTTTGCAATTTTTTTATTGAATAATTATACCACATCAGTATTGTTAACTACGTAACCCAATATTTAAGAGAGAGAGAGAGAGACATATGGTGAAAGCTTGCATGGATCCACAATGGGGGCATGACTTAGGAGTCAAGTGAATTCATAATTAAATCGAAAATATGGCATGAATACAAACTTAGAAATAACTTGACTTATTTATACGAATAATAAAAATATATAACACGAATAACTCATTTAGCTTGTATTGTAAGGAAAAATAAGTAATTTTTTCATTTGTTTCTTTTTTGTGTCTAATATTGTATAAATTATTTTAAAATTGAATACTTCTTTTCGTTAACACGGTTATTGATAAAAGCATGACACTAATTAAGTCTACATTCTTTGTCTCATTTTGTTTAATAACGTCTCATTAGGTGTGAAGATTGGCTTATAAGAAGGGGATTGAACCTCTCATTTGTACAATATACCCTTTGATAATAAAAAGAGGATAATAATTATTTAGCAAAAAAAGAAATTGACGAGTCTAATATTGGTCTTATCAGACATCAAATGGAAAAACCACTTGTTTCGATCTTCTTCCTTCGTCCATTGTATACGATACCTCTATCACCAGCGTACTTCTTCCATAGCCATAAGCTCATCCAACTCCCTTTTTTGCTTCTGTTCTACCCTATAGGACCTCTCCGTTATGGCCTCCTCCTTGATTGTTGCTAATTTAGTCCTTACTTCTTCTATTATGTGGGGAACATTTCCCATCTCCTTATTTGATCACCAAGACACTACCGCACAAAACACTAATCATCAGCAACCCCTAGTCTCACATTTTGGACCCAAGCACAACGGTTACTTCCTCCCCAAAAGTTTTACAAATCAAAATCGAACACCATGAAAATCCTCATCGAAGCTCATTGATTTGGTTCAACACAATTCGGTTATGTTATAACTTTTGATCAAGTTATTACTTTCGTGATAACTAACAATTGATATAACATATATATAGTTATATATATGTGGTACCGTAGACTCCTCCAATTCGCATATGTGACGCACAACCAGGCAATTCTGCCTCGAACAAGGCCCTAGAGTTCATCAGCCTATACGAAAACGAAGACAAAATGGTTGGGGAATAAGTCACTCAGCAATCAAAGCGAAGAGAATAGGAGCGATCAGAGCCCTCTTGCTCGCGAAAAAATTATTTTCAAAATTAGCAGATCTCGGTACATAGCACAGATGCTAAACTCACAATTATGTCAAACTAAATTTCTTTTAAGCTCACTTAATCAATATACATTAATAGCGAGAGAGAGAGAGAGAGAGAGAGAGGGGGGGGG